ATATATATATATATAGCCGACCTTTTTGGTGCCAGTACTGATACTAGTACTGCTACATTTTCTTGGATGATTGTCATTCTATCCCATCATTATGATGTTCAGAAGAAGATACAATTGGAACTCGATGCCTTTATTCAAGCACATGGTCGTCTCCCTACCTTCGAAGAGCGAGATCAAGTCCCTTATATTATTGCCGTGCAAAAGGAATGCATGCGTTACAAGCCCACCACTTCCTTTGGTATACCTCACGTGGCTAATAATGATTGTACGGTTTGTGCTTTTACTAACCTTGAATGATGCATGACAATCCTCACCTTTTTTTTTTTTTTTCTTACTTCTAGTGGTGGTTCGCGATTATTTTTTCCCCAAAGGCTCTGTATTAGTTAGTAATATGTTCGGTATGCATATGAATTCCGATATCTATTCTGATCCAGAAATATTCAAGCCTGAACGCTTTCTGAACAACATTCGAACAATGTCATCGGCGGCAAATGGCAATGTCAATCAACGTGATCATTTCAACTTCGGATGGGGAAGGTAAGAAAGAAAGAAAAAAAGTGTAAGAGGGATGATTCATGGAAATGGGGAGAACATTTCGTACTTACTACTAATGTTTTCTTTCTCAATGTATATTTGGATTGATTGACTTTAGACGCACTTGTCCTGGTATTTATTTGGTAAGAATAAAAAGAATGACAACAAAACGTCATTGGTGGACATAACGTCCTACCGCATGAAAACCAATCACTAATACCTGATACCTGATACTATTCTATAGGCAGAAGCAGAGATGTTCCATATTTTTATTCGGATCTTCGCAAACGCAAGTATTGTACCTTCTTTGGATGGCGATAGCAAGGAAGTACCTATTGATATGGAAGTGGGGTTAGATACTGGAGGTGTCAATTTGCCTCACCCTTATCAGGTTAGATTTATCCCTCGTGTTGATTCCCCTTTAGAATAGATAATGTTATTGCTTAGTTTATACGAAATAAAGGTCTTTTCCCTTTTGTCTTTATATGTTACATTTTATTGATCATCGTCCATCTTTTGTTGTTAAGACGTGTATACTTACATATGTGTGTGTTTTGCCGATTGATTTGAGAGACGAGCGCATTGATGATATCTATGACAATGATATTTACTCTACAGAAGGATACCGAATTGAGACTTGCCATGCCATCGCATGTAATGCAAAAAATACAGATAGACGACGATGACGATAATAGCGAAAACATGAAGTTCATATTTTGCATGACAACAAATCCTGATGAAACAGGTTAAATTTTTTCCTATTATACAATTTTTTTTTAAAAGCCTTGCCTATATGCCTAACTCCAAAACTTGATGCCGTACCCAGGTATTTGATTCAATAGACAAAGCCCAATATGATTGACATAAAAAAAAAAAAAAGGATGATCTCCAATTGGCATGACCATAAAATGGCCAATCGTTTTATTAACTCTGAATCGTTTTCTTAAAGCAATATTACAGTATTATATTATCAACAAGGTGGTGCGCCGATATGATTATGAAAAGCCGAAGCGATAAGAATAAAGGGAAAAATATACGGGACTTCTCAAAGTAGATGGTACACATGATAACATATTTTCAGAATAAAAGATGATTTAGGGCTTATTTCTCTTTTTTTTTTTTTTTTTTTTTTTTTTTTTTTTTTTTTTTTTTTTTTTTTTTTACATCTATTGGCCCAGCTTGAATAACAGCGTATGATTGATTTTACAACGATAGCAACCACATCGGCAAAAGCAACTCTTGGTGATAAAAGACAAATCATCTTGGCCATAGCTACTATCATCTCAGCGAGTATTGGGTTGCGTTATCTGTTTTTCGCAAAGAAAGATATGACTAGCAAGCAGCGTTTCAAGGACATCCCCACTCCTAGGCAACAATGGCCCATTGTAGGTCAGTAACGGGAAGTGATGGTGCCTAATAGGACGCGGATATTGAAATCACCAGAAAATTCACCACATTAAATATCCACTTTTTCTTCTTTTCTATTCTTTTTTTCTTTTCTTTTCTTTCTACAGGACACCTTCTTTCTCTTGGCCAACATCCTGGATATACCGTGGCAAAATGGAGTAAGGAACTTGGTAAATGTTTTTTTAATAACAGAATAGAATTAAATATTATGCTAATGGCCTTGCTTTATTTTTCTTTCTTTTCCTCTCTACTAGGACCTATCATTCAGCTGAAAATGGGTGTACAAACTTGGTTCGTGATATCTGATCCTGCACTTGCTCAAGAAATCTTCATGATTCATGGTGTTGCAACATCTGACCGACCCTCACATACATTCCTTACCTATTATAGCCACGGTAAAAGGTAAAATGAGTTTGTTGCCGTAGCGGTTTTCTGACCTTGTTACTACTTCTTTGACCTTGTTACTACTTCTTTGTTCTGACTTTTTTTTATCTAATTGCTAGGGGAATTACTTGTTCTGATGCGGACAAACGGTGGAAACAAGCAAGAGCTGCCGCTTTGTCCATCCTATCACCACAACGCGTCAATGAATTTACCGGTGTTCTTATGTATGAAGCCGATGCTCTGGTGGAACAACTAGTCTCTCGTAGTCAAGCTGATGGTCAAGTGGATCCTGCTCCCTATGTGCAAAACGCTGCCATGAATTTTATTTTGACAACTTGCTTTGCCACTCGTATCAACTCCGTGGAAGATCAACGATTCAAGGTATTATTATCATAAGTAAATCTACTACCTCCCAACGCTTGCTTGCTTACTCACCCTCACTTTTTCATCTCTCCTTTCTTCTTTTTTTTTTTATGAAGAATATCAGGGAACATGCAATTGCCGGCCTGAAATTAGCAGGGACTGAAGGCGATCTTTATCAGTTTTTTCCGTATATATCTGCTTTGGAAGTGCTTCTTGGGAAGAAAAGAATGTATCGTGATTTTATTGCGAACTCCAGTGATCCTCTTTTCACTCGGTTGATCAAAGACGCCTTGTCAAGTGACAAAGATTCGATGGTCAAGACTTTGATGGCTCTCAAGGATGAACATGATTTGGATGATGAGGATGTCCTTGTGGTTATGTGTAAGATGAAAATTAAGTTTACTTTATGTCATGACTGGATGTTCAGAAGATCTTGGCTGACCTTTTTTTTTTATTACTTAGGTGACCTTTTTGGCGGTGGTAGCGATACTAGCTCTGTTTCGATATCTTGGATGATTGTCATTTTATCCCACCATCCTGATGTCCAGAAGAAGATACAAGCAGAACTCGATGCCTTTACTCAAATACATGGCCGCATTCCTACCTTTGAAGAACGAGATCAAGTCCCTTATCTTATTGCTGTGCAAAAGGAATGTATGCGTTACAAGCCCCTAATAACCTTTCATCTGCCTCATGTTGCTAGTCGTGACTGTATGGTTTGTAGTTTTACTTGTATTGAACGATATAAGATAAATCTTACTTCTTTCTCTTATGAATAGTGGTGGTCCGTGATTATTTTATTCCCAAAGGCACTGTATTGGAAACCAACATGATTGGATTGCACATGGATCCTGATATTTATCCCGATCCAGAAACTTTCAAGCCTGAACGCTTTTTGAACAACACTCGAACAATGTCATCTTCGGCAAATGGCAATGTCAATCAACGTGATCTTTTCATCTTCGGTTGGGGAAGGTAAAAAAAAAAAAAAAGAAAAAAAAAAGAAAAAAAAAAGATATAAGAAAGAAGGTTCAGTAAATAAGGCAATATACCATACTTACTGCTCCTGTTTTCATTCTCTTTATATTTACTGAATTTAGACGTATTTGTCCTGGTATTTATTTGGTATGAAAAAAAAGAACAACTGAAGAATCGATGAATGGAGGAAATCAAGATACAAAACAGAAATGCAGCACTAACGTCTGATATTATTTTATAGGCAGAAGTAGAAATTTTCCATATCTTTGTTCGGATCTTCGCAAATGCAAGTATTGCGGCACCTTTGGATGGTGGCGGCAAGGAAGTACCTATTGATATGGATGCAATTTTGGATACTGGTGTTTCCTATTTACCCCAACCTTATCAGGTGCGATTTATCCCTCGTAGTGTTTCCCCGTTGAAATAGATAGTTTTATTATTTGGTTTATACGAAATAAAGAAACAGCTCCTATTTATCTTTTATATTGTACTTAATATCGTGCTTGCATTTGTACTTGTGGATTTGATAGATCGGGCATCTTGATTACAGGCCAATGACATTATTATGATGCTCGACTTTTAAGTACAGAATACAAAGAACATGGTACATTACGTCAAACTCAATGATGCTAACGAATAATCATACCGTTGATGAAGATGATGCCATCAAAAATCTAATTTGACCCTGCCGAAGTAAAATCAAATACTGAGAAGAGATGATATTCCCACCCAATATTCAATTGCCATAAAAAGAAAGAAAAAGGAATGATGAACCAATGATGATTCCTTTTTTTTTTGTTTTCTTTCCAATGATGTCTGCCTTCTCGAAATGAGATCATCTATGGACATTCAAATATGTAGATAAAACCGAAATCCAAGTTGATGGGTCTGGAAAATAAAAATAAAAACAGAGAGAGAGGATGATACTAGACAGGTACGATTGCAATTTCTCCATTCACATTACAAAACAATTACGATCATGGCAAATCAATGCTATTTACTACATTATCACCAGACTTGTAATCAAAAAAGCCGAAGAAGAACAACCGGGAGAACTCAAAGATGGTGGAAAATACATGATACCTTATATACAAAGGCAAAGATGATTTAGTCTTTATTTCTCTTTTTTTTTTTCTTCTTTTTTTTTCTTTCTCTTCTTTTCTTTCGTTGACTCACTCCGGATTTGGGACCGATATATGATTGATTTTACAGCGATAACATCAAAAGTACCTCTAGGAGAAAAACGACAAATTATTTTGGTCATGACCACTATCATGGCAACGAGTACTGGGTTATACTACTTCTCTACTTCAAGGAAAAACGTGATTGACAAGAATCGTTTCAAAGATATCCCCACTCCTAAGCAACGATGGCCCATTGTAGGTCAGAAGGAAAAAAAAAAAAAAGGTGATGGTGCCTGAGAGGGCGCGGATATTGAAATCATCAGATTCACCTCATTAAACATTCGCTTTTTTTTTTTCCTTTTTCTCTTCTTTTTTTCCTCTTTTTTTTTTTTTTTTTTTTTTTTTTTTTTACAGGACATCTACTTTCTCTTGGTCAACTTCCTGGATATACTGTGGCAAAATGGAGCAAAGAACTTGGTAAGTGACTTTTAATAACATAATCGAATTACATATCATATTAATGATCTTGTTTTATTTGTTTTTCTTTCTTTTTTTTTCTCCATATTAGGACATATAATTCAATTGAAAATGGGAGTACAAACTTGGTTCGCGATTTCAGATCCTGTTCTTGCTCAAGAAATCTTCATGACTCATGGTGTTGCAACATCTGACAGATCGTTTCATACATTCTTTGACTATTATAGTCATGGTGGAAGGTAAATTTAGCAACTATTTGAATAGCATGTTAATACTATTTGTTCTGACTTTATCATTAATTTTCTCTCATTTACTTTGTTAGGGGGGTTGCTTGTTCTGATGCAAACAAAGGGTGGAAACGAGCAAGAACCGCTGCTTTATCAGTCCTGGCACCACAACGCGTCAATCAATTCACCAATGTTCTTATGAACGAAGCCAATATCCTGGTGAAACAACTTCTTTCTCGTAGTCTACTGGATGGTCAAGTAGATCCTGCTCCTTATGTTCAAAATGCTGCTATGAATGTGATCTTGACAACTTGTTTGCAACTCGTATCAACTCTGTGGATGACCAACTATTCAAAGTACAATGTTAAATTATATCTATTATCAGTTATGCTTGTTTACTCACCCTCACTCTTTCATTTCTCTTTCTTTTTTTTTTTTTTTTTTTTTTTTTTTTGCGGAAGGATGTCTTAGGATATATGCACGGTGGCATGAAGATATCCGGAGAAAGCGATCTTTATCGGTTTTTTCCTATTATGTCTGTATTAGATGTACTCCTGGGGAAGAAACGAATATATAGGGACTTTATTGCCAAGGTTCGTGACCCTCTTTTTACTCGATTGGTTGATGAAGCTGCTTCTAGTGACAAAGATTCGATGATCAAGTCTTTCCTGGCTCTCAAGGAAGAACATGGTTTGGACGACAAAAATATCATTGTGATTATGTGTAAGCTGAACGTTATATTTATTTTGAAGCACAGCCGAATGGCTAGAACATCCTCACGTCCTCTTCTTTTTTTTTATATAGCTGACCTTCTTGGCGGTGGTACTGAAACTAGCTCAACTCTATTGTATTGGATGATTCTAATCCTTTCCCATCATTATGACGTTCAGAGGAAGATACAATTGGAACTCGATGCCTTTATTCAAACACATGGTCGTCTCCCTACCTTTGAAGAGCGAGATCAAGTCCCTTATATTATTGCCGTGCAAAAGGAATGCATCCGTTACAGACCTATCTCTTCCTTTGGTATACCTCACGTGGCTAACAATGATTGTACGGTTTGTGGTTTTACTAATCTTGAATGATGTATGACAATTCTCACCTTTTTTTTTCTTTTGTTACTTCTAGTGGTGGTTCGCGATTATTTTATTCCCAAAGGTACTGTATTGGTTAGCAACATGTTCGGTATGCATATGAATCCCGATATCTATTCTGATCCAGAAATATTCAAGCCTGAACGCTTTTTGAACAACACTCGAACGATGTCATCTTCGGCAAACGGCAATATCAATCAACGTGATCATTTCATCTTCGGATGGGGAAGGTAAAAAAAAAAAAAAAATTGAAGCTAAACGTGATCGATGATGACATGGGAACATTTCCTACTCGTTACTCATGCTTTGTATTCCTCTGTGTACTCTTGTATTGGTTGAACTTAGACGCATTTGTCCTGGAATATATCTGGTAAGGAGAAAATATAGCAGTTTAACCGATGATTGCAGAAACTCTAGTGTCTAACAAAGGGTAGTGTTCATAGGCAGAGGTAGAGATGTACCATATCTTTATTCGCATCTTCGCAAATGCAAGTATTGCGGCCCCGTTGGATGGTGACGGCAAGGAAGTAGCTATTGGTATGGATGCAATTTTGGATACTGGTATTTTCTATTTACCCCAACCGTATCAGGTGCGATTTATCTCTCGTAGTGCTTCCCCTTTGGAGTAGATAGACTTCTTATTTAAATTGAAATGGAATAAAAGTATCACTTCCTATTTGGTTTTGTGTTATATTTTATATTGGTAACAAAATGTGTGTGTATCTGCAGGTTGAATTGAGAGAGGAACGCATGGATGGTATCTATGATAGTGATATGATAGTGATGTCGTTACTCTACATAAAGGGTACTGAATTAAGATGTGGTATTTTGTCACATCAAATACAAAAGCACAAATGAACGACGAAGATGGATAATTAGTACAGAAGATATTCATACTAAAAACAGCATGGTAACAATCAAATAACAATCCTGATGAAAGAATTTACATCTTTTCCCATTGTAATTTTTTTTTAATTCTTCCCAAATGATGTCTAACTCTATAACTTGGTATCGTACCCGGGTATACGACACCATAGATAAAACTTTACTCCCAATTAGGTTGGCACATAAAAAAAAAAAAAAAAAGGAAGGATGATCCCCAGTTGGTATGATCATAAAATGACTAATTGCTTTATTAACTGTTCATCACCTTCCCAAAGCAATACTGTTATACTACCAGTAAGACGGGATGTCGGTATGATAATGAAGAACTGAAGCAACATGAATAACAGCACAAATAAACGGCAAAATCAAGGTTGATGGTACACATGATAACATATATTCGGTAAGAGGCTTGGTTAGTCTTTATCTATTTATTCATTTTTTTTTTATTAATCTCCTTTTCTTTCATCGGTTCATCCAGCTTGATTGATACGACATGATTGATTTTACATCGATAGCGACAACACCCGCAAAAGCGGCTCAAGGCGAAAAACGACAGATCATCTTGGCCATAGCTGCTATCATTTCAGCCAGTATTGGGGTTGCATTGTTTGTTTTTCTCAAAGAAAGAGCTGATTCATAAGCAACGTTTCAAAGAGGTCCCCACTCCTAGGCAACAATGGCCCATCGTAGGTCAGTAGATGAGGAAATGGTGGTGGGTGCCTGAGAGAGCGCGGATATTGAAATCACCGAATTCAACCAAATGGAACACTCACTATTTTTTGTTTCTTTTCTTTCTTTTTTTTTTTTTTTTTTTTTTTTTTTTTTTTTTTTTTTTTTTTTTTTTTTTTTTTTTTCTTTCTTTTTCTTTCTTTCTTTCTTTCTTTCTCTTTTCTTTCTTTCTTTTCTTTTCTTCGTTTCTTTCAGCTTCTTTCTTTCTTTCTTTCTTTCTACAGGACATCTTCTTTCTCTTGGCCGACTTCCTGGATATACTCTAGCAAAATGGAGCAAGAACTTGGTAAGTGACTTTTAATAACAGAAATTGAATTACCTGTCATGTTAATAGCCTTGCAATTATTTTTTTTTTTTTCTTTCTCTCGATCAGGGCCTATCATTCGGCTGAAAATGGGAGTTCAAACTTGGTTCTTCATATCTGATCCTGCGCTTGCTCAAGAAATCTTCACGACTCATGGTGTTGCAACTTCTGACAGACCTTCACAAACATTCCTTACATATTATAGCCATGGTAAAAGGTAAAATGAGCTTGTTGCTGTAGCAGTTTGGCAGTTATTTAATGATAGGTTTTGACCACTACTTCTTTGTTCTGACATCAATTTTTTTTATCTAATTGTTAGGGGGAATTATTTGTTCTGATGCAAACAAACGATGGAAACGATCAAGAGCTGCTGCTTCATTCATCCTAGCACCACAGCGCGTCAATGAATTTATGGACATTATTATGCACGAAGCTGATATCCTGGTGAAACAACTTCTCCTTCTTTGTCAACTTGATAGTCAGGTGGATCCTACTCCTTATTTACAGAAAGCTTTCATGAATTTTATTTTAACAGCGTGCTTTGCGACTCGTTTCAACTCTGTGGAAAACCAACACTTCAAGGTACT